GGCGGAGGAGGAAGAGGAAGAAGAAGAAGAAGAAGAGGAAACAAAAACAGACGAAGCGTACAAATTCCTAATCCGTGCGAGATAAAAAAAAGTAAGATACGAGCGAAGGGCGAGTAACCTTTGCAGCGAGGAACAAGGATCAGGGCAAAAATCGGCAAAGTGTAGCCATGAAGTTGAATATCTGACTGTCTGCTTTGTGAGGGAAGCCGATCGTAACTGATCCGACTAAGATTGACCTTGAACAAGATGGTCAGGGGGGCGCTGTTACTACTCTTGCTAGTCCTGTTCGGTGCCTTCGACGTTCCTGGCATTGGGAGAATTCGTCTCAGATATCTGGCGGAGGCTGATAACACCTGTAACGGTTGCAGGATGCACGAGGAGACCAGAGCCCTTAGCCTTGAAGCCATCAAGGAACAGATATTGAACAAGCTGGGCTTGAAACAAGCTCCGAACATGACGGGCAGAGCTCTGCCGAGAATCCCGGCAATTTCGAAGCTGATGGACATATACGGGATGCAAGCCGATCAACCTCAACCACTCGAGCCCGGTATCACGCACCACGAGGAGATCGACGAGTACGCTGCTAAAACGGAAAGCGTCGTCGCCCTGGCGCAACCTCGTAAGTTTCCTATATCTTTTTTTTTTCTTTCTTTTTTCTCTCTTCTCTTTTTTCTATTCCTCCCTACGTGTCTCGATCACATGTCTCCAAATTTCTACGTACCATCTTCTCGACATTCCGATATCGCGACGTTTCTAAAAACGTATCGTTTCGAAAATTGTGAGCGTATTCAGAGCTAACAATCGCGACGGCTACTCGTGATATGTTGCAGCTGCGGTATTTTTCCTTAGCAAAATTAGCCAAATTAACCTTTCGATCCTTGCAAGTTATTCATATTGCTATTTGCGATTGCAATTTGTAACATTGTCGCTTAAATTGAAACGCACTCGGTTGCAAGCACTTGCTCGATTAAACTAAAACAAAAATTATATAACTGGTTGCCCGTGACTTTGCGCCTATTAACGGTACTTGCCGAGTAAAACTCGTAACAAGATTAGCTTCTTTTTGCACAAGAAGAATAGTTGATGCGCGGGGATAAGGTGCCGTGGTCGAGTTCCATCGCGATTTTATTTCTTTTTTTATTTATTTATTTATTTATTTATTT